TTGATCTTTTCTTTTCCTTCCACCATCTTCTGGAAATCTTTCTCCAATTTTCTGGCAATTCCTTCAACCTTAGGCTGGGCAATTCCAACAAGGTTCTGAACCACAGAATTTCCAATAACTCTTGCTTCATCTCTGATCCCTTGCCCCTCTAACTTCCTATCATCAACTGTTTTATCTTTGGTCTTTTCCTTTGCTCCAATAGAAGTTCCAGCAGTCTTCGGCACCAATTTAACCATCCCCTCATTCCGTGTCCGATCTGTGATGGTAAAGTTGTCAACCAACTGACTACCAGCGCCTTCATCTCTTACCCTCTTTTCCAATTCCTGCACAAATCTATAATCTTTGGATTCCTCGGCCAGATGGTTATTCTGACTGACCCTCTCTCCATTGTAACCAGAAAATTGCCCAGTATACTTCTTTTCACCAGACATACCACTCCTATCTTTGTCCCTTTCCTTCTCCTTCTGGATGAACTTCTCCACTGTGTGACCCTCATGTTTCCCAGGAAGTCTTTTCTCATCTGAGACCTTGTCTCCATTGTACCCTTCAAATTGCATTGGAATCCTCTTCTCCTCCAATTTATTATTTTTATCTTTATCTTTCTCCCTGTCCTTCTCTTTCTTTTTGTCTCTTTGTTTTTCCTTCTTGTCCTTCTTTTCCCTATGTTTTCCATCACCTCTATCTTTCTCTCTTCTTTCCTTGCTTTCTTTCTTCTCTCTGTCCTTCTTTTCTTTTTTATGTTTCTTCTCCTTGTGCTTCTCCTGAAAATCACAAAAATCATGAGTTTGCAGAGCAATCTCTCCAAGAACAAGACTAAAACAAATGCCCTGCCTATCACACATGCTCGAATGCCAACTATATGGAAAAATACGGTTCATATATACCATCCAGTAACAAAACTAGCACGTCTAATGCTCTAGAAGATGAATAAGAGGCAAAGACAAGGATGGGCTATCTACTGAACTTCCACAGCCAAACAGGAAGAAGGACCACCAGATTAAAATTCACAAAAAAAAAAAAAAAGAAAAGCAACTAATTGAAGTAACCATGAAAATGTCATTTGGATTAGCTTTTTGGTTTTAGCTTACAGCATTTTTGAGACAAAACAGACCATGTAAATGTTTTATTAAGCCTCATGTTAAGCTCTTCATGGTAGCTTTTCTATAGCTCGTACATTCTAAATCATAAGCCAACTTAACCAAAGAACCATTATATTCTGTCAATCAACAGGCCTCTTTTACAAGGTCACTTCTCCCTAAACCAGCATAAGAGATTTTTAGAAAATTTATTTTTAAAAGGCTGATCCAACTGGCCTCAAAGTCTCAACCATAAGGTTTCAATCTGAGCATCTTCATAGAAACTGGGTCCTATAAGACTATCCATCTTCTTTTTTTTTTCCAAGAACTTCTCCTTGTATTACCATCCTGGCAAACTCTTTGCCATATTAATAACTCAAAAACTCCTAACAAGGGGAAAAACCAAAAACAAAATGATTACAGCAAAGAATCCCAGAAATGAACCAAAACCATCAAGTAAAACCTCCTGATTGCCCCCTCCCAAATTATCATGGTAAGTACAGACCAAAACTAAGAACAAAGAAAAGAAGTGATGAAGCACTTGATAATCGTGGCCAACTTCTAAAACCAGGAATACAAGAGTAAATAGCACAGGAGCCCTACAGCCACCAGAGACATCTAAAACCACACACCATAGATGAAGCTTGGGAAATTGTCAGATAGATGACCACTGCAGCTCAAACAACTAGCAATTCAAATTAGAACTCCAGAAGACAACAACATACACAATCAAACAGATTGAAAACAAAAAACAAGAGAAAGATCCTATCCATTAGCTGCATAAAGAGGGAAACTAAATATCCCCCTGTCAGCTCTTTACAAGACTGAATATTAGACTAAGCAACAAATATGGAATACCAAAACCATTTCTTTACTAGTGAACAACATGTTTCAAAGAAACTAAATATGCACCACTCACCTTCTCCCACAGTTCTCAATTTTCCATGATTCAGATGTATGCACTTACCCACAACATCATCTAGGGATCCATATCCATGCAACATTTAATACTGAATGGGAAGGGTGGGAAGAACTTAGAGTCCTTGTACTTTCATAACTAGGTGTGGCTCTACATGGTTGGTGAAGAATCTTGAAACAACACTACATAATGAATCAACCATGTCCAAGAAAAGAATGTGTTTAATAAGATCCACTTAGATATAGAACACAAGAAAAACACACACATAAAAGGGTCAATACGACACAACCAAGGGTCCCTTTAAGAGAAGGTTTCAAAATGGTTCACCCAAGAATTTGGCATCACAAAGTAGTGAACAAAAAAAAAAGAAACAGAATCTCATACAACACCTTGGGGAGACAATAGCAATAAAAAAGACCTATTTAGCTTACTGCAACAAGGGGGAGAGTTGGATAGAGCCTAGAAAAGCCAATCACAAAAAATTAGCCAAAATGTCAGATACTCTAACAGGTAGCATTTGAAATTTTAGTTACCAGTATGATGGCATTGCACAAACTAACAGGGTATTTATCCATAAGCTCAAATATCAAACTGTATAAAAGAAAACTCGAAAGATTATTCCCAATAATATCAGTATATCAGTAGTTACTTTGCTCCCAAAATTTGCCTGCTGTCGCTCTATAACAAGGTGATGACTTTCCAGATAAATCATTTATGGGAGTTTCTTACTAATACGGAGGAGATATACCTTTCCCCAGGTAATTCTTTTTGTTTTCCAAGAAAATCTTAGTGGAGACTGTAGTTACATAAGACATGGCATATTTTGATTGTTTTACTTGCAAATAAGTGTGGGTACGAAATACAATAGTTGCTAAATTTAGGTTTTGGGGGGTTCAGGCCTAGTCTGAACATTTTCTATAGAAAAAGAAGATATATTAATGGAAGGAATAAGATACAAATAGGGATGATTACGCATCCTCCTTAAAAATCACAACAAAAAGAGAGAAAGAGAGAGAGATTAATTAATCATGAGAAAGAATAGCTGGCCAATCTCTACGTGTAACAGGTAAAAAAATATCCGTAAAGTGAACATTATCCTTGGCCAAAACAGAAGCCAAAAAGCAAACTTCATCCTGAAGGATGAAAAAAGGTGAATCATAATTCTTTTTTAAATTAAAAAAAAAAAGGTAAATCATCATTCTGAAAGATTCTAACATTCTGCTCTAGCCAAATCAGTCACAAACCAACAAAGACAGCCCAACATCAAGGAGCTTACACTCCTTCCTCATCCTTGGGCACATCAATGCCCCACAAAGAAAACCTCCACCTCCACATTCTGAGGAGACATCCAAGGAATGTCGAATGCATCAGAACACAAAACCACCTTAAATTCATGATCTATATCCTATGAAACGGTTTAATAGCCCATTTTGCTCTAATAATTCTTGTTCTTTTTATATGAGAAGAGATCTAGATTCAAGTCCTTTTTGTAGCGACAGCAAGAATATCAGTACAAATTTCTAAAAAACTGAGTTAGTGTATTACAGATTTTTAAAGAAGATATTTAATATATTTTAAGTTCCAACAAAAAAACGTTGTTCAACAGATTTGCTCTTTATTTGGACACCTAGCTCTTCAATTTGAGCAATAAAATCTCAGCTTTGATAGAAAGTTTGTCAGACCATAAACTCTTGGCTCTCTTTGTCCGTACCTTTTCCTCTCACTATCTTTAGTTCCTACTCTACCAACTTGTCCCAACACTTCTTAATTAAGGGTCTGTAGTTCTCACATATCCAGGTAGAGAACCAAATAAACCCAAGCAAACCAATACCACAAACCAGTTCAAAATATTTAGTATGCAAATTCCAGGGTGGTTGAGTGATTGTCATGACTACAATGAGAACAATAACTCAATCTAATAAAATTCTTCATACTATTACCAAGCTAGACATACACCAAAACCATAAACACTCATCTAAAAAAGCAACCAATAGCTAGCTCTATTGGTTTTATGTTCAGTTTTCCTAGTAAAGAGGGGAAAGGTTACCACATCACCCATCTTGAATGACATCTCTCTTGCAAAATTTTTCTTCTCCTATAGAAGAAAACCAAAAGGCAGTCTTTTAATGCGAAACTAGTGAGATACAACATGGTTATAAACCATCCCGTGTTATAAGACCCTAAATCCAAAAGAAGGTGGAAGCGTGAAAAGTTTCTATCACTTAAACTTCCTGTAACCTTATAAGAAATGAAGAAGTAAACACCAACTGCATATCAAACATTCTCCATTAAGTTACTCTTTACTCATATTTTGACCATCACAAATTTTGACAAATTCTTGTTCTACTTTTTACTCGGCAACCACACTAAATTAAGAAGGGAAAAAAAGGACATCAAAGAGAAAAAGAAAATCCGTAAGGATAAAAAAAGAGGCTCCCCAGCTTTCAGTCATATCACAAATTATGGCCACAAAATCTCTTTAAAGACCCCTCACCCTCTAGAAGCAAAATGAACAGGAGACTAGTTCAAGCAGGTTTTAGAAACAATGAACTTGCTCTTTCGTCTTTGTTAACTACCTAAATTAAATGGATCTTCCACTGAAAAAAAAATTAAAATAAAGGGATCTTAACAAATATTTCAAGTTCATTATATTCATCAACTACCTGTTTGAAGCTCATACTGTTTTCATTTATGAATTAATAAAAAGTAAATAAACATCGACTAATTTTACGCCCAAGATAGGAATATATATCTGCCTGTTTCCCTTTAGTCTTTGAAACACATACGTCCATTGCAATCATATATTGTTTTTTAAGTTCATCTTAGCTGGTGTTTCCTTACTAAAAAGTTAGCTTATATTTTACCTCTAATAATAATTATATGAAAGCGAAACAAGAACAAATAAGAGCTCGATAAAACATGTAACTGAAAAGGTGAAGAGTTTTAAATATCCCCTACAATAGAAAATTCGTTAGAGGAACTTTTATCTGTAAAGGTACAAAAAAGTCAGCATGGCGTTGGTGACCATAGTTTATTTCAAAATCCCAGTAATTTAATTCTCAATCTCCACCCAGCAAAGTGATTTAGTTGACATATCAGAGCACACCGACTAAAAAGGAATGTCTCTTAATGTTCCAAGACTATTAAGTCATACACATCTTGCAGATATTCTTTTACCGAATATGGACAGTGAATCAACAGGACTACGTGCCTAATGGTTTAAAGATCTACTTTCCCATATTAGAATGACAATGATCATTAATATCTTCATAGTTCACATACCTAAAGCCAAAACAAATTCCTACAACTCCTGGCACTAAAGGTAAACAGATAAAAACAATAAAGCAACAATAAGGATGCATAATTTTCACATCTTTCAGTCTGCAAGAGTCCATTTCTGCATGAACCTAATTGAAGCTGTAATTATTATAAGATTGCAGGGAAAGTATATCAACCTTTTTCAGCAAGTCCACGTCGTCCGTCCTAGCCTTCTTTTCATATCCTGGAGGTGGGAACGGAAAGCAACGCGACATTGCACGGAATCTCAGAATACAACTCAAAAATGCCTTCCACAAAACAAAGTGCTTGAGTCACTGTTCCAAAAAGGGAAATGACCAGAAACTATGCCATGCACCATATCTGCACATTCATTTCCAGTTTCAGTATTCCATTAATGGTTTTGTCAATCCACTAGTCAAAAACTCCAAGAACACCAATCTTACTTATCCTCTCTGCAAGTCTATACTAAGGTCAGGCAGATGTTAGTGGAGAAAATAAATTCAGAAATAGAAGTCCAGAACTTCTCCTCTTAATCAAATCTATAGCAGTCTTAGACTAAATAACTCAAAACACCCTACAGTCACAGTCAGATCGAAGATTAACTTAAAACTGAAAGAAAACCACTTTGCTCAAGAATTCCACTCAGCCTATGTCAATCCAAAAGGTTTCTTGAGAAATGAAAATGGTCCACTACAATTCCTGGGCCAGTAAAGAATCATCACCTCCTGCTTGTAACCAAATGCCAATAACAAAATCATCGAATCAAGCACAGAAAGACAACGAAACCAGAAAACCTTTATCCAAAATCCGATCAGTGTCTACCAAATTCAGTAAGTGCAGTCCTCTTCCATGCCCAAACCAAAAATGTCCAATCACCATCACACTCTGCAATCTCGAAGCTCAGAAACTCAAATTCCAAAGCCAGTTAAAATTTCACAACTCCAATACCAAAGCTGGGGCCATTCTACATGATCTTCAGCAGACTACGCCTCTGATCAAACCCTAACCAGTCCAAAGATTTCCAAATTTGAGCAGCACCCACTTACGATCCGATGAAACCCTAGAAAGCACAAAAAAATATCCAGAAGCTTGCTAAGCAAATATCCAATACCCATTAAAGAAAAACCCTTAATTCCAGTCGTCAAAAATCAAACAAACAAGTACGTAATTCTGAGCCACAGAAAAAAATCCAAAAAAAGAAACAACTTGTAGATCAGGAGGAATAACACTTTCTTCAGTAACCCATTTTAAATGGGTATCGATGAAAAGCGATAAAAATAAGTTCGATTCAAAGCACAAGGTGAAAATTAAAAAGAAAAACCATTAATTTTCAGGAAATTTGGAGAGAAAAAACTCAAACCCATAGAAAACAAAAAGGAGATAATCCTGGGAGTGAGATTACCTTTGTCCGCTACAAAGAGGGCATTGTAGATGGACAAGACAAGATCTCTCTCGTTAGATGAATAGGAAAATTGAAAGTTTTTTTCTCTGCATAAACTCTTCGTCTTAGGTTTTTTTTTTCCCCCTCTGATTCTGGTCTCTTTGTTTCTCTCTCTCTCTCTCTCTCTCTCTCTCTCTCTCTCTCTCTCTCTCTCTCTCTCTCTCTTTGTTGTGGTCTCTATGCGCAGATGTTTGCGAGTGTATAAACAGAGAGAGAGAAAGGAGAGCGCTTGTGCTCTATTAGTACTTCTTTCTTTCTTTTCTTTTTTTTCTTTTTTTTTTTGTTCGGAGTTTGCACGCGATAAAATGTTTTTAAATAAAATTAGAAAAAGAAGCCCAATTTGTGAGACGCTGGGCCTGGCTAGCTGAGGATATGAGAAAATGAGGACCTGAAGTCTCGTTTTCTCGTCTCGTCCCGAGTGAATGAGTGAGTGAGTCGATAGAGTCTCAAAACCCTCGATTTGATTCTTCTCAAAGTCACACACTTCGGAATTGCATTTTGTAACCACTTTGTATTCCGTGTGTGAATCGTTTTTATCCAGTCACTTGCCTAGTAGTAAAATTGCACGTAGTAACAACGTATTTATTATAATATAAGAATGTTATTTATTTTTTAGTCTTATTTATCTTTTTTACGATAGATTTGCCGATTTATTTAAAGTACTATGAGACATTAAATCTTATATTGTATAATTATAAAAATTTTAGTAATATTATTGATACACAAATTGATAATCTAGTAAAGTTGATACACAGTTAACTCACCGAACTTAATTATTTATACTATTGAAATCCACATATATAGTAAAAATAAATGTACCTTAAATAAATTGTTTGAAATCACACAAATAATACTATAATTATCACATGTATATTGTTAAATTTTTATCATCGTTATAAATATCGCCGCCATTAGTTGTGTTATTAAATATTTGTTATCACCAATTGATCTTGTCATTTTATTATTATCGTGTTCACGACTATTGTTACTATATCACTAACTCATTAATATTATATTTAAACTAACGTTTACTACAATTGTTATTATTACTATTTTCATTGCTACTCTATTATTATTTCACTCGTGCATTGTTACTATTCCACCGTCACTATACACATTCTCCCACCATAGTTGTCACCTTATTTTCCTATCAACATCAATTGTCTATGTGTTGTTGCAATTATTTTACTACAACTTTATAACATTCATACTCGTATTTGTTATATTACTATGATTTTCGTTATTGTCGTTAGTGTTACGATTGCTATTATCACTAACTCGTGTTTATTATTATTGTTGTCGTCATTATTATTGTTGCATTTATCGTAATCTCTATTATTATTATTTGTCATTACAATTATTGTTAACACTGTCACAATTTTTACTACTATTACAATAAATAATCAATACAAACTAACAAAAATAATAAAATAATTATCGTGTTGCAATATTATTTTTACTATCCAGTCATTTAATATACATAGTAGTAATACAAAATATTTATAAATTAGTAAATAACTAAAATATATATAACTACCTAAGTCATATGACTAATTAAAATATCAAACAATATTTTTAATTTTATAATTTATTATTTATCGTACAAAATATAAATAATTTTTTATTAAAATAAAATACTTATTACAGCGAGCTAATATCGTACAATTATAAAAGTTAAAATTATGATTATAGAATTTATATATGATAATTCATGATGATAGTTTGAATATCTTTTTTTTTTATATAATTTAATTTTTGATCGTTTTTTAGGTTTTGAATCTAATTATTTTATGTTAAACATTTTTTTTGTGATAAATTGTTAATAAAAAATAAATATTTTTTAAATGTAAATCTAAAATAAAAATTAATAAAATTATGGTACTTTTCGTATTTATATCCGTAATTAAGATATTCTCAAGTCAACGAAATGTTGAGTTTGGTTAAATTCCAATTTAATATAATAAAAATGAGAATATATTATGTAATTAAAGTTTTGGTAAAAATATAAATTAAATTGGGAAATAAATATTTTACAAACCCATACTGAAAAGACAGCTTCTCGGTTAAAAATTACATTATTTATTATTTTTATTATTAATATTTTTTATAGAAATATTATTATAAAATAATAAAATAATTGAGTGAACGACTCGAGGGTACTCACCAGTCTTGTTAGAAAAAAAGTAAACAACACTCAAACTCAACAGGAAGCCATATGGCCGAAGCACATGCGATTAGGTTCCCCGCCATTCTGTCGTCGCCACGTGGCATTCCCCCCGACCAATCACTCTTACCTTCTGTCCTTACACGTGTCTCTCCAATACTCCTCCCAAACCGATTATTGACTTTGTGACGTACTTAAAGCTTCTTGTACATGCATGGGAATATTTTGTCCATCCGGGGTATAATCGTAAATTTAGTCTCCCTGTTATTTTTGGTCAAGCTAAAAGTTAATTATTTGACTCAAATTCCTAATTTAACTTTATTGTATAATTGAATGTGTTTCATCCGTAATAACATTGTGTTAATCATGACAACAATCTTATAACATACACTAATATATAGATATATATATGTATATGCATACTACTTTTGTTTGTTTACTAATTTATAACTAATATAATTATATTAAATATAATTTTATTTTATTTTAAATTCTTAAAATATATATTTATTCAATGAAACAATTTATTTTAATAATTGCTAATCTTATAATAATTAAAATAATAATGTACAATATAGTAAGTAAGTTGATTATATATTAATTAAATATATGTAATACACTATGTATATGTTAATTCAATTAGTGCACATAAAAAAATTAAATTAATATTATATTAATCAAATATATATATAAAATATTTAACGTATATACTAACTAATTAATTTGGTATACATGAATAATTAAATTAATAATATATCATTAAATCTATTAAATTATATTAATTAAATACGTGTTTAATATAAATTAAATTAATTTAAAAATAATAATTTTTTTTTATTATCGGCCAGCATAAGGCCCCAGCCCAACAAGTAATGGGCCTTTGGACCACCAGCTAACCGAACAGCATATCGTCTACGAAGATTCTTTTCTGACGTCAGAATCCAGTAGCCTATTGCCACTTTAATCGAAATAAATTCCTCTACAACCAAATCTATGGTAAACTCAAAGTACTCATGCAGGTCATACAGTACTTAAAGCCAAAGTCAACCAAATCTCAAATGTACAACCTAGAGCTGCACAAATTCGGAACTTGGCAAGTTACGTGGGCCCCCATTTACACATTTCCACGCTTATAAGAGCGAAGATATTTTCCTCCGCACTCATCAAAGCGAACTTTAAACCCTAGCAGCCTCCGTGCTCTCTCTTCTTCGTTGGTCGTCTAGTTCACTCGCTAAACCCTAATACACACTTCTTAACACAGAGGTATTCCCATGGCTCTCCTTAAGTTATACGGTTGTTTACATATGCTGTGCTTTTATACATAATGTACAGTGTTGTTGAAGTCCATACGTACTGTGTATCTTGCGCGTGGTTCACAGGTTAAATGTGTTCATATGCTGTTCTCATCGTTATGTCTACTGTGTTTTCTGGCGATCCGTTTGGCTCCGCAGGGTTAACGTATTATAGCGATGATGAATATGAAATAGAGAGTAGTATCAAGTGTGAAAGCTTGTTTTCTTACCTTTACATTTTCAGCAACGGCTTGTTGAAACGTTAACATTATACACGAGTTATGTTATCTAGTTTAAGAACGGATAATTGCTCTCTGTTGGAATTTTGGCCTTTCTTCGACATAAATTTTATGTCAAATCGGTAATATTTCAGTAAGTTTTCTTGATTAGTTAAAATTTGAACCCTGTTTTTTGGATATTATTGTCTCTTTTTAACTATGTTAGAGTTTAATGTTTTAAATTTTGCGTGTTTACAAATTTTTTTATCTGATATTAGAGTATTGTTTTTGGTGTTAAAGGTTATTTTTAGCGGTTGTTGATCATTTATAATTGTAGTATAGTCTTGGTGAGTTTAGATGTATAAACTCCATGCTACTTGTAGACCTATTCTCTCGCTGAGATGGTCTGATTTATTATATGTCTGTTGTAAAGTGTCTTGACCAATTTAAACAATAACCGCTTTCTAATTTTCTGAGTAGTTGTTTTTGCTGTTTGAGACTGGAACGTTTTCCTATGATTGAGTTAAGTGTGTGGGAGGACATATGTTGTGGTACTAGGATAAAATGATTACCAGAAAATCAGGCATGCTTGATCTGTAGGTTTCCGACTGTGTCTTTCCTTACTGCTTGTTATCTCTTTTGCTCATATTTTTTTTTTTGGAATTTTTAACTGCAACTGGCACAATAAATTGATTTTTTTTTGGGTGAATAGTTGTATGTTTGTAACTAATTGCCCCTTTTGGTTCTCTTTTTTTTTCCCTGAAAAATCCTTTTTTCTTCATCTTGCCATCATGGATTGGTTTCAACTCCCCCCCCCCCCCTTTTGTCTGTGGTGGATAACATGAGAGTATGTCTGCAGGAATCAGATGGCCTTCTGCAACAAACTTGGAAATCTTGTGAAGCAGAGCATTTCCCAGAATGGGCAAGTTCCAGTGGCATCATTACTTAACTCCATTCGTTGTTTTTCATCCTCAAAACTTTTTATTGGAGGTATTTACTTATATTGTTTAAAGACTGAACGCTGCTTATGATACTCGTACCATTTTTTGGTCTTTGATTCATGTTATACGTGTCATATCAGGTCTTTCATATGGAACTGACGACCACTCTCTAAAGGATGCATTTTCTGGTTTTGGTGATGTGACTGAAGGTGGGTCTGTATATTAGCTGCTGGAATTTATGACATTATTAGCATGCCTGCTGAATCAATCTTCATGTTTTTGAAGCTTGTAATTTTGAAGTCACTATCACCTTTTCATTACATTAATACATTGCCAAGTTTAGGCCACAGGCAACTGTACCAGGATTTCATGATGAAGTTAGTTTATCTATAATTTGGTTGATGTCCGAGTATGCAATACATAAGCTGGAAATGATACTATTGCTTCCTAACTTGAGCTCATTTATCTTCTCATCGGTCACCTTTTTTGTTCCTCAATGTAGGATGTATATGTTTGAAGAAGTTTATATCAATTACTCTTCTAAGTCGTCCAATAACTCGTTATTATTATTTTCCATGGCTGCTAGTGGCTAGCATACTTATTCTTTATGGATATTTCTATCTGCAGCAAAGGTTATTCTTGATAGAGACACTGGAAGGTCCAGGGGTTTCGGATTTGTCACCTTTGATAGTCAGGATTCTGCAAGCTCAGCCCTGTCAGCCATGGATGGCCAGGTTTGCATGAGATTTAATTTTTGGAATTTGCTATCCATGTGCCGTGATTTTTATTGACTGTTGCCTACTGAAATTTCAGGAGCTAAATGGGCGGAATATACGCGTGAGTTATGCTACTGAAAGAACTAGTCGTAGTGGGCCTCGAACTTTCAGTGATGATCGTAATGGAGACAGAGGCTTTGGTTATTAAGAAGTTGTTTTCTTTCCCTATTATCTTATGTTTCCCCATAGCTTGGTCTCAGCAATTTTAATTCAATTTTCTCTGTTTACTAAATCTCAAATTGGTTGCTGAACCTAAGGAGAACTATATGCAATGCCCTTTTTGGTTAGTGTTTGAGCCAGTTAATAATTTATGTATATGTTTGGCTTGCAGGGTTAAGTCTTTAGCTGGTTATAACTAAGTTTTGCATTTCCCATTGTTGTGACATCGAACCATAATCAAATGTATTGACTGGTATGATTTACTGCAGGTAAACAGCGGGTTGTGTGGCCAAGCTGTATGATAATGGCTGTTGACTGTAAATGGGTTATTCATTCCTTAAAAGTCATGTCATATTGAGGTGCATGCAGGCTATTTCTGCTCCTGTACGACTTATATGAGGGGTAGATTCTGTCCAGAAAACACACTTTTATTCTGGTGGCCTTTCTTTTTTTTTTGGTTTGTGTTGGGTAAACTTATAATTGTTTTGGCAAACTAGGTTTGTTATCTAGGTCATCTATTTTTATTTTCGTATGCTTTCTGTCTTATGTGAGAGTCAGTTCTCTTCATTCCCCCATTATTTCTTTAGTAATCAGGCAGTTCCGAAAGGAAAACTGCATTTGGGTTACGGAACTTGATAGCAACTGGAACCTTGACGTTCCCAAATTGGAATCCTTTTTGGTATTTTTGGTTCTTGATTCCGAAAATCCAGGTGCTGCTTGATATGAGGTGTAGTTGCTTAAGCATTTTGGTTTTGAAGATGTTGTGTAGCTGAAGTTTTTTCTTCCGCTGACCATGTCATGATTTATGGCACTCTCAAAATAGATAATGCCCAGGCGGATGAGCGATAGTGATTGGTTGGGCAAACGCTCAATTCAAAGCGAAATCCAGTATGAGTTAGAAATAAACTCAGCCCATCGCGTAACAGTGTCTTTGGATGATAAAAAGCATCTTTTATTAAAAGTTTGATAGAGTTTCTGTTTAAATACTGAGTTCAGAGGCTTACTTTGCAGGCCACATTTTGGGTCAACATTAGAATTACATTCACGCCGAAGTTAGTAAGTTTATAATTTATTGATTCAGTTTTGCAGAAATTACTTAAAAAAACTTAATTTATACGATTAAGAAATTTTTGTGTCCGGAAAGATTTTCTAAATAAATTTATCAATGAAGTTTGTTTCAAATATATCATCTAGCTAACATGGAATTTTTGAATCAAAACGTTCAAAGATTGGAATTGATGGTTTATTTCATGAAGTTCAACGAATCAATCAATGTATTACGGTAATTGAAGTTTACTCACGTTTTTCCGCGGATGGATAATACCTTCCTCTAAATACCATGATTTTATTTTTTAATAGTAAGACAATATTAACTACAAGACATCTATATTAATTGGCCTGTCTAATTAGAAATCAGTAGTACCAACTTAGATTGTTGTAGTTTCAAACTTGGGATGGTTATCTCTAGCAGATTCCACGTCCCTTCACCTAAGATTTGTCGCTAAGAGAAGCAGCACAAAGTTTTGCGTGCCGAGGAAGTAAATATAATCAAGAAATTGGACCAAATCCCGTTCGTCTTTTTGACCATGGTATTACAATATTTTTCTAAAATAAAAAATTATATTACATTTATTTATCAATAATAATACATCAAAGCACACGTCTTAACTCTAAACCACATTAACTGTTAATTATTAATAATAAATCAACTACCTAATTTTAAGAATGATTGAATATTAGTGTAATTAAAATTAACAACTAAACTATAAAAGAAGTATGACTGGAGTATATACATATAGGACCGGGATTTCCGAGTATGTATGTGTGTATATATTGCTTGCATATATAAGGATAAGGGGCAAAAAAAAAAAAAAAAAAAAGGAGGCAAGGAGTCTCTTCAAAGAGGTGGGTGGGTAGAAGAATAGCATAGGTTTTTTGTAGTGTCATTTTCTTGAGTGATACTCAAAAGGTTTATGTCTCGTTAAAGTTTGCGCTAATCCTCTACTAACAACACATCACGTTCTACTTAATAATTGTGCTCCTACTTTAATATTGCATTACATATAGTCTACATATATATATATATATACACACACACACACACACACTATATGCATATACTTTATGTATAGTTGTGAGACTATATGACCCCTCACTTTAGCATTTTTAAAACTGTTCTCATTTTAATTAGACCCACGGTAGAGCTCTCCCTCTAAATATATATATACACACACAAACACACTTAAACATATACGTATATAGGGTAAATCCTCAAATGAAAAAATTATTAAAAATAATTATATTATATATGAATTTACAAAGAAATTTAAGATAATTTGATTTATATAATATATTATTTTACCATTGATTATGAAACATATGTTAGAATGGATTATTCTGGTTGGTTATTGGGATAAAAATAAATTAATTATCGGCCTTTATTTAAAAATAATAAGGTATTAACATTTTAAGAATAAAAGCTCTGACTTCTATAAGTCAACAGTTAATGCTACGACATGCATGCATTCACGCATGATAATATTATATATACTGTGTGTATGATATATCAAAGGCATATGTAACTCCGTTGTTAAGTCAACACCCAGATTAGTAGGGTTACACAATGTTTAATTTAATAAAATTAATAATTTATTTTATTATATTTTTAAACAAAAATAATGTTTTATAGTAATTAGATTACATTATTTATAATAATCATGACGATTTAAAAATATAACTTAATATTTTTTATTTATTTTTTTTAAAAGTCAACAAACAGAATGGCACTACTGATATATATATATATACATGTATAATTAATTTGAATGAATGTGAACCCCATTATGTAAGTTGAATATTGGAATATTCATTGCACCGGCTTTTATTTTTTGGAAATAAATGGAAGAAAATCAAAAGAAAAACTGATAAATTAGTAATTTAATATTATTTATAAATCAAAGTATATATTTTTTTAAAAAAATTAAATAATACTGAATTAAATTTTCTACCAAAAAACGTACTACACAACATGTTGCCACCCATGTGATGGTGTACATTCATAGAACATGTACATATACATCTACGTATATATGTATGTATAATATACACATTATCATGCACAATTGCATGAAACAACAAGACATTCATCAATTAAACTGGTCTTTTTTTTTTTTTTTTTTCTTTTGATTTGATAGGAAGGCATTATGTTTTTCCCTATTTTACCCGACATTATTGTTATTTTTTAATCAATTTTGAATTTTAATTTTTTACTCATAAAAAACCTAATCCAATTTATATAAATTAGGAAGCTGGATTTCGAAATCTCTTTAATCTATTGATAAAAAAATATAATACTTACAAAAATTATTGTATAAAATGCAAAATTTTGCTAAAACAAAGCAAAAAATATGGAGAAATGTCCCGATTCGAGAAACCCTAATAGGGTTTTCTTTTCTATCTCGAACTTACTTTATTAATAGAAAAAAAATTTATATAAATGGACAAAGACTCGGTATATATTTATATATATACATGAATTTTTCTCTATATCATGAAAAATAATAATCCATGCATGTAGGCATACACAATACACACAAGGCTATGGTGAGATTGCATAATCCATTCAATTCGAACTCTCTGATAAAAAATATTTTGATACAAAATTATATAATTATAGCATGATCTTTGAAACCACATTAAGTTACTTTAGGATCATCCAAACTCCATATTCTAAATAGATATAAAAATATTTTATATGTATGTGCGTGTTGATGTATTATTTTATTTATGTTACTGATTTTTTGTTTATTTATATTAAGAAAATTTTATTTTATGAATATTATCTGCCCGTTAATTTTTGCTAAATATTTAATAAAAAATTAATACTATAAATAGCGTATGCTCGTAATAACATATAATTTATATATGGGGAAGTAAAAAATAGAAATGGATGAGAGTAATGAAGGACGATAATTTTAAACGTAGAAAAACATATTAGAAGTTAAAAGGCAGATATCTATTGGCATATTGTAGTGCCAATAATTTAATTAATTAAAGTGATTAATGTTTAATTATTTTAAGATTTAAATTAGATTAAAACGGGATTAGGGTTGTAACATATTATTAATTTGTAGTGTATTTAAGTGTAAATTATAATTTCATTATTGATGGTGTATTTATTCTAATTACTATATATTTTAAAAGAAAAAATTTCATATATCCAAGGAATCCAATGAAAAGTATTTCAGAAGTATTTATTTAGGTAAACGTCTGTGTAATCTTTTTCCCATTTTTAAAAATAAAATTAAAAAATATATATATAACTTGTAGTGATTATATATCAATAATGATTTTCCTTTTTTTACTTCATGCCCAAATCACTATTTGAAGAGATAAATCTTTTAATTATATACAAGATATATATATATATATATGTATATGTATATATCATCATAGAAGTCATAATTAAATGGCTTGAGAAAAATTAAATAATTAATGACTAATTATGATTAAGCAGGGAGTGCGAAAGGAAACAAAATAACAAATTATAAAATAAGGAAAAATAATTAAATAAAGACAAAGGGGAAAGAAGATTCTTGATGCCATGATTGATGATCAAATCACAATGTTTTACTTTTTATTTTTATTTTTATTTTTTTTTCATTTTGACATTAATCCAACGGCAGAGATCTACATCCTTTCCGGCAGACCCCACCACATTATTAGGCCTCCAATCTCACAGATCTACACTTTCACTTTTCATCTTCCCTTAACACTTCTCTCTTCACAGTTTTATCTTCTATACCCAAATCTATTTCTATATGCTACAATCTTCAAATAACAGCTGCTGATACAATTTGATCCAACGGCCATCAACAACTCTAGTAATAGATACCCAATCAAATTCAAGAGAAATTAAAATTAAAATTATATCGAAGAGAAAAAAGAAAAAAAAAAAAAAAAGGAAATAAAAATAAAAACCAGCATGTGATGATGGTGGTGAATGGTTGTGGTGATGTTCTGGCATCTAGGCGGAATCGTCGGTGTTGTCAATTTCCTTTTTTACCCTCGGATGAATCCCGTAATAACTAACGTACCACTTGACGAATTTTCTTAACCCGGACGCCAAATCGGTGGTCGGTTTGTATCCGAAATCTCTGAACGCCAAGCTCACATTGGCGTGCGTGTACGGAACGTCGCCGTTTCGGGGCATGGTGATTACGTGGCGCTTCGCCTTCGTGTTCAACAAACCTTCGAGGATAGATACCAGTCTTCCCACCGGAACCGGCGCAGTGTTGCCGAGATTGTAGATTCTGAGCTGAGCGGGTCCTCTTTTCTTGCCGCCGCTTCCGGTGCTTTTCTCCGCCGTGTCCAGCGCTCCGAGGCACCCTTTCACGACGTCGTCAATGTAGGTGAAGTCACGCGCCACCTCCTTCTGGTCATGGGTCTGGTAGACATCAATCGATTTGCCTTGTAGGATATCTTTGGTGAAGAAGAAGTAAGCCATGTCGGGTCTACCCCAAGGGCCGTAGACGGTGAAGAATCTGAGTCCGGTTAGGGCAAGCCCGTAAATATGGTTGTAAGTATGGGCGATTTCTTCGCCAGCTTTCTTCGTGGCGGCGTAGAGGCTCGCCGGTTGATCGGTTCTGTGAAGCTCGGAGAAAGGATTCTCTGTGTTTAGGCCGTAAACGGAGCTGGAAGAGGCCCACACGATCGACGGCTGAGGATTAGCCGATTTCGCTACTTCAAGCAGACTGACGAATCCCGCCACGTTGGAGCTCACGTACGACTGTGGGTTCTGCATGGCGTAACGAACGCCGGCCTGCGCCGCCAGGTGGAGCACGTGGGTGAAAGGCACCACGTCGAAAAGTTTTGTGAGCAAAGCGGCGTCGTTTAAGTCCCCTTCAACGATGAAGATTTGGTGCTTGGCGAGAAGCTTCTGTCTAGCCCGTTTCAGCGACGGGTCATAGTAGTCGTTGAAGTTATCAAGCCCCAAAACACCATCCCCACGCTTCTTCAGCGCCAAGGAGCAGTGAGACCCGACGAATCCGCCGGCGCCGGTGACTAAAACCGAGAACCCGTTGGGCCGGCGAGGTGTAGACGAGTGACGGACCCGCTTCTCCCAAGCGGCACCACCGAGGGATGAAGAAAAAAGAGCGGTGGATAAGAAGCTGTGAGGGTGGGCATGGTGGTGGTGATGGCCGGGATTATCGGAGAGCGGCGGGTAGTTAATAGTGAAGAATAAGATCAATACAAGAGCAATGAGCAGAGTAACACGAAATAGAAGCTTCGACGAAGCATTTAAGAGCTTGGTACTGTGAATCCTGCGGATGTAACTGTTATACCGCTCAAGCTTTAAGGTTTTGCTAGTGTCCGGCGGCGGCGGCATCGTTTAATTTTGCTTTACTTGTCGATTTCTGTACAGTTCTGGGTATCGACAGTCAGATCGAGCCAATAAAAGAGGAAAACGGGAGAGGAAGAAGAAGGAGAGTACGATGAAGGACTCAATGTGGGTACTTGAGGTACTCTTGAGCCCTGAAGCTGAAATGAGAAGGGAATGAGAAATATAAAGGAGGGAGGAAGCAGAAGGAGAAGAAGGTAGGTGTTGGTTGGAGGCCACTTTTCCTTATTTGCTCTTTTTAATTCGCTTCTTCTTCACTAGCTTCCAGATGTAAAGTTGGGGTAATCAATATTGGGAGGAGTTAAATTCATAAAATGCCCTTAATTTTCACTATAATTACAATTTTATCCTTACATTATCTAGTGGGAAATTGCCAGCTTTTTTCCTCTCTTCAAAAAAAAAAAAAAAAAAAAAAAAAAGAACTATACAAACACGCTCAAAATTATAATTGATAAGAAAACATATTATAATTTAACACCATAAAATTCTTCAAACTTATTTTAAAAAATTAAGATTCAAAGTCTTCCACCCATTATAAACAAATTAAGATTCAAATTATTATTATTCTAAAAATACAACTCGTTTGAAAGTTGTGGGCAGTCCACTACATTTCCCATACAGTTGACCCTGTAAAACTAAATCTATATGTATACATTTTTTTAACTGTAATTAATGAACTCTATTACCCAGTGGAGGTTAGTTAGGCTTATAAAAACATTATTATATAACAAAATTAATTTCTTCAAACAAGATTTAATGCGAGTATATTTCACGTCCCGTGGTTAATGTACCCTCCAGTGCATAATATAATCAACCGGCTTTGACTCGTGCTGTTTATTTGATTATTAATTTAAGTTTTAAACATTTACTTATTAAATATGTATTATTATATATATATATATAAATATATGTATGTGTGTGGGTGGGTACATATGCAATTGCCGCGTCGGTGATCCGAATGGTCAGTCAAAAGCATGAGCTGTGAGTTGGAATTTTGTAATTCTTGTTGTCTGGATTGAGTGCTATAAGTAATACGAAGAAGCCTCTATTTCTGATCGACTTTTACTTTTATTTTTTTGTTTTATTTGGGCTTTTTTTTTATTATGAAAATTAATTACCAAAAATAAATATGCTACATTAATTAAAATTTGTCGTCATTAATTTGGCAGATCTCTAATTTCTACTGCCATTTTATTTCTCAAATTTGTTGGTTTATTATATATATATATATATAAACAAATACTTTGAGTAATTGGACATATAATAAAATTCCAATTTCAGGAAATTTTAAAAAATATATGTATTATTAGTCATCTATCATTAATTAATTTTTCAAAAAATAATAGAAAATATATAATTAAATATAAATTTAATGAATTAATACAAGTATGATGATTAAACACATAATTTACATTTTAAATGGAAAAAATCTTAGAATCAACGTGCGGTTAAAAAAAAAAAAATGTAGGTTTGGATAAGTTCATGGGATTTTATGATTTGACGACAAAAAAAGAAATGTGAAAACAATGACTGTGACGGAGAGGTTTTGGCCGCAATGGGTCCTCATCCGTCGCTTTAGCCTTTTACATATGTATGTATGTATGTATGTACGTATGTATATGTATATATTTATACTCGATGTGGGGGAAATATAAAAAGGAAGGCTCTTTAGGGAGGCAAACCCTAATTTTTCCACCATTAATTTCCACGAGAACTTCAAGTACGTTTCTTTATCACGTTCACATGGGAAGAAGTAGATTGATAAAAAAAAATATACTCGCATACTTACATGTGTACGTATACTTATATGTATATGTTTTTAGTACATGGTAATATATATTGATTTTACTTCAAGCAAGTAATAGTCGAAATTAAAATTTTTTATCTTAAATTATTAGTCAAATAATTACATGACCAAAATTTATTAAGTTTATATACACATATATATATAGGAGTCCATATTTAGTAGTATGTCTTATAATGGATAGAACAAAGTGGATATGGTAAGGGAAGCCTAATTTTAGTACTTAAAAAAAGAATTATAACATTAAATATTACAACTACTTTTGTACTTGTAATTTTGTTTTAAGTAGCCTTCAATTTTTCTATTTTTTTTTTAATATATATATACACATAACGTATATGAACATATTTAATACATTCAAATATTTTATATTTGGACTAGTATTTTTTTTTCATATATATATATATATATTGTCCTTTTAAATTCATAAAATCCCACATAATATGTACTATAGAATTTGTTTTACATGGATGTAAAATAGGAAAGTGTGACATCCAAAAGATAAAGTCAATATATATATATATATCATTTTGTACTAGAATGATTATGGTAAGTTAGAAATACTTGTACTATTTTTATTGGGTGTTTGTATTTATTTGGTCTATGTTAGGGCCCATGTGTATTTAATTATTCTAAACAAAAGTGGGCCATTTTTAAATTGAAAATTAAATGAGTGACCACAATTTTTTAGATACATAATATTTGAAAATTAGTAATTATTATTTAAATACATATTTTAAAAGTCTTAGATAAATTATCAAATTAGTTATTATAATTATCACTTGTTATATTTTGATCCATAATTTTTTTTTATTACAATTTATTTACCAAAATTTATATTTATTTCAAATGCTCAATTGTTTTTTTTTTTTGTACTTTCTAATAAAAATAAAATTAATTATTTTAATTTATGGGTTATAAAATAAAATAGATTATATTCATTATATATATGTATGCATAAGAGGGTGGTGACTTAATTTGTAAATCTAAACAAGGCTAAAGCAATAATTACTAGGTGTAAGATGGAATTTAGGCCACCAATAAATGCTTAAATGTTTGATATAATTTTATTGAATTAATTGAAATGAACCAATAATTGTGTATGATTTTTAGCCTGTGGTGGCCCAACCTCCTCCCCCACTTTATGGAGATTAGATATGTATTAGTTAATTTAATAAGCTTAATTATCACTCCATCTCTCTCTCTCTCGATAGAGTAAATTATTTCATCCCATCCCAAATTTAATTAACAAGTTTTCACTAATAAATGAGTTTATAAAATACTAAAATGAGTATTTATTACTATCCCACATTATTTTATTATGAAAATTAATGTATTTTATTAATTGTGAATCAATTATAACATAAATTTAGAAAATTAGCGAGGGGAATGGGAAAAAGGAGTACAATGAGGCCAAAATACACGGTAGTGGGTGGTGGGGAAACCATAGAAGAGTAAATAGAGTCCAAGAAATGGGTTTCATGCACATGCTCTACAATGACTTTTGAGATAATTTCACCTATAAATATTGTACCATATAATATGTCAATTTTAATTTTTCTTCTTGTTTTTCTATAAAAATTGATTGATCGATTGATTTTATTAAAAAAATAAAAATAAAAATGAATTCAGGCTTAATCTAGGTGGCCAAGCTATACCACATTTGTTCCCAAACCAGAAATACACAGCCTTCAAAATAGCAGCCTCGTACATGAGTAGAGAAACTAGCAGTCCGACTGACTGATTTTGTTTAGGCTTTCGGTAATTTATGTTCTTAAAAAGAATATATAAACTAATGCGCGGGGACACATGGGAGGTGGCAAATTGGATGGTGACACAGCCTGAATTTAACGCACCAGCTTGGATATGGATTACTTCACAAAACTCTTAAGAATATGTAAAGGATACCCAACATCAGTACTTAATTGTCACAATAAAAAAATATTTTCCATCTAAATTCTCTACGATACAAAATTTATAATAAAACGAAAGGGGAGTAATTGAATTGTGTATTTTGCAAATGGTTTCTTTTATATAATAAGTTTGAAGCCGAAGCTGTAGCTTGGAGGAGATCTTATGGGTAACGTGGCCCCAGTTCTTTTACACTATTTTCCCATGCTGATCTAAATTTTAAGGTCGTTTTCTATCAATAAAGAGCCTTGAAAGAGACGCCTCCCAATCCTATCTCTCCGTGTTGTCGGCAGACTGCCTCTGCCTCTGCCCCTTTGCCTTTTGGGCACCCTCGTGTTTAATTTTATAAACAAAATTTAATCAACGTCGTAATAATTATTTTTGTAATTAATTAATTTCATTTTTTAAAAAATCATTAAAACAAAAGAAAATTACACTCAACTATCGCGAACAATAAATTACTTAGAAATCATGTAGAATAATTGGATTTTTTTTTTTTCTAGATGGGTTAAAATTCCGTGCTTTATCGATTACGAAAATGGAATAACTATTGTGATATGTCTTCGTCTCAGTCGCTAACATCATCGATACAACTTTGTATGAAAAAAGTTTATTATGGTTGTCGTTATCATTATCGTTTAATTAAAACAAAATTAATTACATGATAATACAACAAGAATTCAATTTAAATAACATAATTAAGACGGGCAATTTGTCGTCAATTAATATTTTGAGCAAACATGATAAGGAAAGGAAGTGAATTAAAAAAATTTCAAGCTTTAAATGATTGAAATATCAAATGTTAAAAGAGTTTTACGAAACAGTCCAAAGACTTCTTCTCATCTAAATCTGCAATCGACATTTTAAATACAAAATAACCTTGTCTTCTTGTTTAATTAATTTATTTTTCAAAACAAAAAAAATACTAATAATATCTCCTTTGATTTACTTCATTTTGGCTTCTCGTCCACTTAAGAGTATTTATATGTGACACGTGTCTGCGTTCATAAAGTTATAAACTTGTGTATCTCGTGCATTTTCTAATTTATTCCTTTCTAAATCTTTAAATATTTGTTATGATTCATCGACTAGAAAAAATTAAAAGTATTTAGTACAGGTAGTCCTTTTCAATAATAACAAATGCATACGTTTATCACAACATAATAAAAATAATCTTCAAACTAAAATACAATTTCTTATAGAAAAAAGTAAATGTTTTTAGCATGGTTAGCCTTTTGATTATATGATATTCTAGTATGTATTATTTATAACATTAATTTTTTATATCTAAGCTGCTTTCAACCCTCTATTAAATTTTCAGGACTGATAAAAATTTTGAAAGTGAGATGAAAAGAATTCAAACATTACACGCATATATATAATCATATATCATAATATATGTATGTATTTGAGAATTTTATGAAAATTAATGATTGAAATTAGTCGAATGAAAACTTTACCGAAGGGAATCATGTTATGTCACAGCCATAATACAACAACATGGATTTGCATTGATTAGTGCATGCAGCACGCATGAATTTATACCTTGACATTGTCTTATATACCTACCTATATAAAAAGTAAAAGTTTAATAATATATGATTTTCAGAAAGTTATTATTTTTGGTATCGTAAGACAGAGAGTGGCATGACAACGGTAACAGTAATGGCTCAGATGCAAATGATATCACATCACTTTGCATAAACATTTTTTTTTTTTTTTTTTTTTTGTTGGGACTTCAGTTAAATTTAGTTGCTTACGAATCACCTAATTTTTCAACGAACAATTTTCCGACCCAACTCTCTAAATGTTTAGTATGTGTTAATATAAATATATGCAGGAGCCTTGTTTGTATATAAAAATGATAGGTCAAATTATTTCCATCTTGAGGTCCTGTCCTGTTTATCTTTTAAAGAAATGAATTTTAACCCCACAGGAAAGAGAGACAAAAGGAACAACACAGTAAGTAAATCTATGTGTTACAAATATCTTCCAAGAAGAAAAATGGGCCTAGTGGTTTTCAGTTTTCACATAATGTTCCCTTCAAATCATACCATTGTCAAGAAGGAAAAATCACTTGAACCCACTAAACACTAGTTTCATATCAATGAAAACTTTATCTGACCCTAGCCATCCTGATAATCTTTAACTTTTACAGTAATCTAGTACCTTTATAAAATAATAGTAATCTAATGTTAAATACTTCTCTATGATCTGTATATTGTTAATTATTGTACAGAATTACTAAATTAATACAAAATGCTATGAACATTAAATATCATAGTATCTCTGAATCACCATATTTGCGCTACCATATTAAACCCAACTGTTAACAACAGAAAGTCACAACTCTATATGATCATTTTCATAAGATAATAAAATGGCATATGTTTTGCACAAAGGAGACTAATACAGAAACCTGCTAGGCATCAGTTAGCAAAACATACCACCGTGACTTTCATTATATGTAAGATATAGATTGCACAAAAGTTAAAACTGAAAAAATAAAACAACAAAGAAAACCACGAGTTAAAATAGAGAAAAGAGAGTTACCTTTCGTTGTGTAATTAATCCGATGAGCTTCATTTACTCCAGAGAAAAGGAAAAATAGATTTAGTTGGAATTGATACCTCCCAACTTGTTAAAAGGCACCCTCACCAACTATAGGGGAATGAGATTGGCTGGAATTCAACAAAAAACTACAAGACATATAACACTTTTCTTTTCGCTAAAACAGACAAATTTCAATTTACATACATGAACAACCATTATTTGCTTAGCAGTAATCATTTAAGCCTTTGAAATCACAGAAGACAAACGGGAAATCGTGATGTCACCACAAGGTCACCATAGTCTGAGGAGGAGATGGAGAGAGATAAGAGGTGGAGTTAGATAACATGTTGATGGCAGGCCCACACACATGCAGAGAAGCTCAGCACTTGCATGATTTTTCCATCTCAGTCAGAATATGACATCTGACATGAGTATGGGGATTCCCCATATATGCTCTACATTTTTTTTCCTTTCAAATGGGATCCACCATACATGTCTCTCAATTAAAGAAACTAAATCAAAAAATTTACCTGTATAATAAATTATTCTCCAGCTGCAAACAATTCCCAGAAAATTCAAAATGGTAAATTTGATAGTGATCAAGGTCTCATATGAATATATACTTAAACCTCACCTACTATACAAAATGAAACCTCTACTTGTTCCAAGCATTTTCTTTCCTCCTAATACTAAAATAAAAAGGCAAAATAAGTGAGCAGGTTTTCCCATTCACATACCATAGAAGGCAACTGGGAAAGAAGTATATTCTTTTAACCTCCTATTCTTTGATCTCTTGTTTTTGTCTCTCTGTATCCATATATTCTCATTTTCTTTTACAGTAAAGTTTTCTTATATCATATAAAACTTATTGTGTAGCAGCAGACTAGCAGTAAAACTCACAATTCACAAATTTATTACATATAGATTAATAATACCTCTCCTTCACACTTGGATGCCAGATAGTGGTCTTATCGTCCCACCACCAGAAGGGGACAACTGAAAGGACATGGAACTGATAGAAAGTGAAACCAGCATTGACTAAATCACTCATAAGAAGTTCAGGAATCAAAAACTACATAGAGCAATCAATAAATAATAAGTTTCGGTCAGGATTGGGATATGGAAGTGAGAAGGTAACAAACATCTAAATGTCACTAAGCCAATGCTCTTTTTAATAGGAAAGACACTGAGAAAAATATCAACTCAAGCAATAAAAAATATGCATGTTCAAGAAAACATGAGACAGATGAAAAATGAAATGGCTTCTGCAGACAAAGGAAAGATGCACACCCAAGGACCAAATCAACAAAATGAGTATGCATTCAAGATTTATAACAAATACAGTTCTGATATATAATGGACAAAAGGAAGAGTCTTGATATGTAAAGTGAGGTTACTTGAAAAGTAGGCCATTAAAATTTGCATTTTAAAAGAAGTAAATCTTAAGTTGAATCCAGAAGCTATCAACTTTTACAAGAACGCTTTATATGCTCAACCTCAGTATGCATTGGAACAATATATAAGCGGCACCATCTGCAAAAATAACTGGTACCAATGAACCTTGCACGGCATACAAGTAATGAATTGTCAGCAAAACTGGATAATTTAGATGCATAAGTTCATTTTCTGAAAGTGGACAGTTTCCATATTTGATTATTTCTGCAAAGGGCATTATACTGCAATGCTTTCTAGTTCTTCATTTTTTTTGTCCATCACACCTTGGATTATATCTGGAAGGTTATTTAGAACCTAAATAGAAGAAAAAAAACAATATTGTCAACAACAATGGCAAGAATAATGAAGCAATAGATCATTTTCAAATTATTGTCATAAATGGCAATGGTGACAATCAGAATACTGAACAAAAGTAATATGAGCCATTGAAACCCTTCTTATAATTAATAGAAGAAGAATTGGTAGTCATCCATTACCTCATACACGTGCCATGAAGCAAAAGCATCGGTTGCAGCATACTGTAGTTGCTCCTTTGATAAAACTTTAACCTCCCAATTTCCTAGTCTGATCTTCTTAGGCTTCTGAAGCTTCAAAGATTTTAAAATTTTCAAAGTAAAAATGGGAGACGATTAAGAATGAATATCTGCAAGATTGAGAGAATGAGGAAAACTCATTTCCTCAAATAACATGAAGGAGAATACATTAGAAATTAATAGCAAAATTAGCTGTGAATTTCTAAGACAATAAATTAATGTGATTATTCTTGTATTACTGGCTCTCCAAAAAATAAAATCATCTAGTTTAGACCAATCCCCGTGGAATTAAAATGATGATAAACTAGGTGTATTTTCTTTCAAGGAAGGAAAGGGGATTAGGTGTTGGGAATGCAGTGTCCAAAAATCTTACTATGAGAGCTAAGTGCTTATGGCAGTTTCTGCTAGAACTTGGTTCATTGTGGCATAAGGTGGTGAAGAACAAGAAAGAGTTGCACCAAAATGATTGGATACCAAAGCTGGAACCACTGTCCCCTGAAAATATATAGAACATCTATATGATTCCTTTCACTCTTTAATTCAGTTAGGTTTGGGGACAAGTCCCATCTCTTTTTGGAAAAATCATTAAGTGGGGCAAACACTGCTCATTTCATGATTTCTATGGCTTCAGAGACACAAGACACAATGTCACAACAATTTCTTCTTAAACCACCATGATAGTCATTTCTTTTCTGCTTCTTACCCACAGTCCTACCAGACAAAATTTAGACTTCTCTTCCTCTTTTTGGAGAGTAAAATTCCCTCCAAGCTGAGTTGTGTGGACGATGGTTTTAGATAGGACCAACACTAATAACTTGCTTCAGATCTGTATACCTCAAAAACCTAAAATTTGTTTGATGTGCTGCCATAGTTAAGAATACAATAATCTGACTGAATTAGATTACTTTACTTTTTCCACTTTTTGAGCGTGTTCTCCCAATTTGGTGATCTTCATCTCCAACTCTATCTGATTTTGGGTGAAGTAAGGATCATAATATGCTTGACAAGAGGGGCTATTTTTGTGGGGTTATGGGTCTTTTGGTTGAGGAGGACTGCAAGATCCTTAAGTAAAGATCTCAACCATTTGATGGCATCTGGGAGAGAATATTTCCTTCGCTATTTGGACTAAAAGCCATGATTCTTCAGAGGAACTTCTTTGTCCATGCTATGAAGGGATTGGCTTGCTACCTTGTCTTAATAAAGCCTTTACTTTTTTTTTTTTGAGAATAGCTTCTCCTCTCCTGTAGTTTGTAATCTTTTTCCTCTCTCCTGCTAATATTTATTCTTTTATGATAAACTTTCTAATCGGGTCTTCGATCCCAAAGCCCAAGCAGTTCTATGTGGCATCTTCATGTGGGATTCCTAGGTTTTGAATCCTTTTTACTTTAAAGGCTTAAGCCAGAAGAAAAAGAAAAAAAGAATAGCAAGAAACTATCTTTTAAGCAAAGTTTGTAGGAGTCTAAACCTTGAGAAGAGGATGTTTTTTGTTATCAATTTAAGGTTGTGCAAGCCACATAGCAGAAACAAACTTCTGCACTTTTACAATATACCGTGCAACAACGTTATTACACTAGTCATAGAACATTCTATCTCAACATGCATCTACGCTAGAACATATACTCTGGAGGTTTATCATTGATGAAACACGAGAAATATTAGAATCCAACGACTTGTAAGACATGGTTGAGAGCTTATTAGGTCATGACACTGCAAAGATAAAACTTATGATAAATAATAAGAATAAGAGAGACCAACAATTACTTGCTTAAAAGAAAATCCAAAAAAAGAAAACCTGTTTGTCAATACCACTAATAGATTAGATACATAAGATTTAGCTAAAAATTCAAAATTGCCAGCACACTAAAACTGACAGATACCTCTTTGCAAACAAGGGCCTCAGATAATGATGCAAGACCCCACTTGTCTCCACCAATTTTTTTGTTTGCTAAATCAGAAAGATCGTCCATGCCTTTAATACATACATTATAATCTCTATAAACCTTACTAGCATCACCACAAATACCCACTCCAACCTGTGCATGAGTAGTAATTGTATTAAGATATATATCAATATTGCTTCTTCTGACAAAAGATAACACACATAAAATAATCCATTTAGTTAGGAAGTGTAGGAAATAAGAACCATATGTAAGAGATTTTACAAACTTTTAAAAATGTAGAATCCTCAAGAAGAAGCTGCAAACTAGGAGGAATTCCAGAATGAATGATGTGCATCACATGACAGTGAAAACTATCAGCGCATAATTGCATAACAGCTGCCTTGTGAGGCGAAGCACCTGAAAAGAAGGATTTCACCCAAAATTGATGATTTATCCATAAAGTTTAAATTAGGTTCCGGACAAAAGTAGTGATTCGTTCATAAAAGTCTAATCTAACACATTCGTCTATTAAGAAAATTTTCCCATTCCTGTAGAGGATTCTGCATGTGGAGTTTAATAAGAATACCAGAAAATATTATAAATACCTAATAAGAAATCTGAATGTTTAAGGCTTGGGGGGGGGGTGGATTACAACATCATTCAAGTTTCTCATTTTGATTATGCTGCTAAACAAGGATCTTCCTAAATGATTTAAAGAACTATGATTCATAAAATAGACTCACTAACATGCAGAGTTTACACCCAAAAAAAAAAAACAAATGAAACTGGAGATATTCCAAACGGAAAGGGGGGAGAACCAAGGGAAGTTACTGAACCAACCTTTCCTAAAAGTGGGTCGCCATTCAATATCAAATCCAATTGCAACTTGCCCTCTTTGTTTTTTCTTGGCTTGAAGAATCTGTAGGAGCTTGGCTGCTGCTTTCTCTGCCTCCAATGCAGTTCTACTATACAAAATTCGACCTACAAACCTCAATGGAGGATACCTCATCCTAAAACTGCCTGTAACAGGAACAGCAACAGAATTCAACATACTACGAAAAGCCCCTTTTGCCGCAACACGAAGTGTCTCCAAAAGACAAAAAACGTCTGATACATCTGAGATTCTCAAGAAAATCAGCTGGTCCATTTAAAAGGTTATTCGGATTCAAGATTTTCCATCTCGAATAGGTTTCGGAAATTATTTAACTTCTTTTCGTTGGTGATATGCTATACACAATAAAGAGACTGCACATCGTTATCTTTTCAACTTTTGTGTTAAAGTGTAAATGTTGATGCTGACCGGTGGAGTTTATCAGTATACCAAGTGATAGAATCCAACACTAGGTAACGTCCATGATAACATTCGGAATTTGAGTAACTAACGGCAATTCGCTAACAATAGGATCAACTAGAAGCTTTACTTATTGACAATAAATCAATAGATCAGAACTCTAGAACCTTAACAAATTTGAAAAGAAAAAACGTAATCAACAGTAAGCATTAACTAATAAAAGCATAAAATAACAAAGAATACCTTGAGAGGGAGAGAGAGCAGGTGACTTTGAATAAGAAAGGGAACTAACAGAATCTGGCAATCGCCTACGCACCTTAAGTTATTCAGAAAATCAGCTGGTTCATTTAAAAGGTTATTCAGAATCGAGATTTTTCATCTCAAATAGGTTTTCGGAAATTATTTACTTCATTTTGTTGATGATATGCTATACACAATAAAAAGACCGCACATTGTTATCTTTTTAAACTTTTGTATTAAAGTGTAAATGCTGATGCTGATCGGTGAAGTTTATCAGTATATCAAGTGATAGAATCCAACGCTAGGTAACGTCTATGGTAACATTCAGAATTTGATTTATTAAGGCCAATTCGCTAACAATAGGATCAATTAGAAGCTTTACTTATTGGCAATAATCAATAGATCAGAACACTAGAACCTTAACAATTTTAAAAACAAGAAGCATAATCAACAGTAAGCATTAACTAATAAAAGCAGAAAATAATAAGAATACCTTGAGAGGGAGAGAGAGGTGACTTTGAATAAGAAAGGGAACTAACAGAATCTGGCAATCGCCTACGCATCTTAGATTTCTTAGCTTCCCGGGCACTGTCGGGGCTTGACATGCGCTTGTTTAAGCGCGAAGAATAAGAAGAAGAAGAAGAAGAAAACGACGACGTTTGTGGAGATCGATATGAAGCTTCGATGGCGTCAATGGCATTGAGTTGCTGCTCAGTGAAAGGTT